GCTCAAAGACCTATGGCCAGCAACCTCCTTACGCAGCATTCCAGCGAGCGCTGCATAACTTATAGAAGGAAAAGGAAAAAAAAAAAAAAAAAAAAAAAAAAAGAGTTAAGTCCTATTGGAATCAGAGCTCCAAGAAGTTTGGGGAAACTGCTAGAGACAGCATAAAGAAATCTTTTATATATTCATACATATGTGAAAGTCATAAATTGGAAACTCAATAGCTTGTCATTAAATATTCAACAAAATGATCAAGTGTTTAAAATGTTCCTCTCATCCAGTGAAATATACAGCATCTGTTCGGCATTTACAAGGATCATCTATTTTTTCAGCAAAAATCATTAGCCCTTTAAAGCAATTCTGCTGAAAGGGAGGACAGAAAACAAGAAAACTGAAATACTAGCTTTTTCCTTGTTTTGAAATCTGACTATAAAGTTTGTTGGCATTTTCTAGGCAGCCAGAATGACTGTACTATACATTACACCACCTTTAAGAGTGTCTTTCTCAAAACGGAGTTATGAATAATAGGATGTTTGTACTACTTACCTCCAGTGAGATGAAAACATTCCTAACATCACTGTAAACATTTGAAGAAATAGATCATCACAGAAGGCATCTTGGTGTCAGAGCAAAGGGCTGGACTAACCGAGCAGTGACCCACGGCACCTTCCTGCCCAGAGGGAGGAGTGGCCAAATGGTGCGGACTTTTTATTTCTCTGTTTCATTTTTTTCAATTTATTCAGAAAGGCAATTTATTTTGTTTGCTGCTAAAGCAGAGGGCTCCTCCTCTCTCTGCTCGTCTCCCTTGTCTCCCAGTTGGACTCCTAGATGTAAGACGTGGATGTGATTTCCCATTTTTAAACATAAACAAATCAGGAGGCTTTTTGAAATCATTCAGTTTCTACAATGCATCAAGTCCAGCAATTTATCAAAGAGGTTTTTTGCCTTCTGAAATGGTCTAGAACGAGTGACTCAGCTAAAAGGAGGGAAATACTATTTATGTACCATGCCAATACTAGCTTGCAGCAAAACAAGAGCAGGAGCTGCTCAGGCAGCGGGGGAAAACAAAACAAAAAAACCCAATGTTAATCTTTGTCTTAGGGGTAGCTAAACACCCCATCAGACTTGCACCCGTTGCATTCAATCCACCTGAGGACTGACGGGATTAGACGGAGTTGCGACAGCTCACGTTTGTAGTTTGACGCATAAGCCAGCCCTCGGCGGGGGGCGAGGAACACCTGGTTACCCGCAGGTCTGCTCCGCTGAGGGTACCTGCGTGGCCGCGCACGCGTGGCCGGAGCTTGTCTTCTCAGCCCAGCGCCGACAGATCTCCCTCAGCTCCGCAGGTCTGTCCGTTCAGCTCGCTCACTGTAAGCCCCGCTGTCCCACCGGTTACAAACACTGCCCGCTCCCCACCCTGCCTTGGCTCTGCTGTTGGTATTAAAACCCAGCCCAAAGCTCCCAGACTCCTTTTCTTTGCTTCGCGCTGTTTCGTACCTTTTCTGCTTGTTACCGTTTCCAGGCAGCCTTGGCAGCTTAAGCTACTGTCTCTTTATCTATGGATTAAAAATAATATACTTGCATAATGATTTCACAACATTTTAAAATGTAAGAACCTTCTCTCTCCTCCCTCCTCTTCCCCAAAAATGAGGGGGAAAAAAGTGCTTGGAACAACATACACCATCATTATAGAAATGGGAATAGAAGAGGGATAGAGATTTTGAGCAATGTTTAAAATAAAATAATTACAGAAATTGGATCAAATTTCTGTGTCTTGTTATTCTATTGACAGCCACATCACTAGATTATAACCAACCTCACACCTCAGAAGTTAGGAGCCTTTTGAAGCTGGTTGCACTTTGCACAATTCTGAAGCCACCAGCATACAACCCGCTGCGGTAGTGGTGAAGACGACAAGATGTACAGCATGCAGAAATTCCTTCCCTGACTACTAACTTCTTGAAAGTTCGCCATAGAGGGTTAACGCCACCAAGGAGGAAGCAATATGCCAAAAGAAGAAATTCCACACTAAATGTATAAGCACTTTCAGGGGCTTATCGCACAGAAAGAAAAAATATTTTGAAGAAGGAGAAAGTGAAGAACAAGAAAGGTCATGATCTTAAATTCCATTAAGAAAAAAAAGTCATATTAAAACCTAAAATTAAAAGGTCAGGAGACTTACTATTAAAGAACAGAAAACTTTGAAAATCCAAATTATTTTATGAGTGTCACCTGGCTCTACCCTACAGAACATTATACAAGGGGTTAAATAAGTCATACCTATATTACTGTCGATGTGGTGGTTAAACGGAAAGACTACTGCAAACCAATCTTGCACTCACTGCTGTGCAATGTAAATGAGCGCAGTTCAAATTATTTCTCTACTGAGGGAAGCAACAGGCAGCATATAAATGCAAACAACCTTCATTAGACACATTGTCATGAGTGTATTAATCATGTCAAGAAGCATTGCTGAAGTTTCCTTCAGTGCAATTTAACATACCTTACTTTATTAGGATGCACTTAATTTCACTATGTTTTCTCCTCATTATCATTTATGATGACCAATTAAAATGTTTGTGTCTGTCTCCAAGCAAATTACTTCTGTAATTCCGGTAGCTGAAATCACCACTCGCCCAACACTTCTGTCATCTCGTTCCGTCAGCGTAACATCTTTCCTTGCCCAGCCTCTACTAGCACGTTAAAGAGAAAAAGCTCGCTTGGATGGGATAGGTGGGTATAAACCCGGGTCTTTTCCCAGCGCAGACAGTCAGAAGTGGGTTGGTTGGCTGGCTCCCCCCGTTGCCCAGTTATACAGCCTGCGCGGGTTTGTCCTGGGCGTGACAAGCCCAGCTCGTACAGTCAGGGAAATAATGAAGCAACAGAGGCCTGGGACAGTATTCTCACATTGGGCTCAAAGCTGTGTGCAGTCTAAACTTCATTTCCTTTGGTCAACACATGCAACAAATGCAAATACACAGCACCTTTACCTTCCCGACACCCCCCCCCCCCCCCCCACCCCACACGAC